CTCCGCCGCCAGAGCCCTCGGCTCCACCCTGGCCCCCCGGATCCTCGGCATCCCCCTGGCTCATTGGCTCTTCATCTCCGCCTTGGGCTCCTCCGCCACCTGCTCCGCCGCCGTTGGTCGGCCCACTGGAGTCGGCAGCCATTCCTCCTCCATGGCTCCTCCCTCCGTCGGCTCCACCGTGGGTCGACATTATGGCTGTGGCCTGGGTCCAGCTGGGCTCCTCCTGCTCCAAGCCCCTCCTGTCTGCTCCAAGCCCCTCCTGTCTCCTCCCTGGCTCCTCCCTCCATTGTCTCCTCTCTGGACTCTGTCTACCGGCCCCCGCCCAGACATCCGTCCTCCTCCTGAGCCTCCTCCTTAGTTCCCACATATTTCCCCCCCTCTGTTGTTCTACGGTGCGAGGACACACCTTCCGGAAGGGGTGCGATATGTCAGGGTTCTGGACTATCTGCGTGTGTTTTGCTCCCTGTGACCCAGTTTTTCCTCGTGTCAATTGTGTTAATTTGTTTCCAGCTGTGTCTATTTTGTCCCTCGTTATCCAGTGTTTAAAAGTCCTAGTCTGTTCAGTTTGTGTTTGTCAGGTCTACTCGTTCTCTACGTGTGTTGGCTCAAGCTCCTATTGTGGATTATCTCCTGTGTTTCATGATTAAAGACTATTAAACGTTTCCTCGTGACTCCAGCGTGTTCCCTCCACAGCGTAACGTGACAGAAGACCTGACCAAAACAGTAACCTCTGTGTGTCCGTTTTGTTTCCCGTTTTTACCCAGCGTCTTTTTTTTCGTTGTTCCCTCATGGATGCCCTCCTTCGCCCGGAATATCGCCTCCTCCTGCTGGAGCAGGGGGAGAGATTGCTCGAGGACCATACGAGACTGTTCCAGCTGCTAGCGAAGACCACCAGCTACCCGGATGACGCGCTCTGTGCGTTCTACGACGCAAGTTTAAACACCGCGTGCAGAGCGCTGTCATCCGAAGATGGTCCTCGAGTGGACTTCACCGCGTTTGTGGAGTGGATTCTGGTGAGAAACAGATCACCTCTCATCGTCACTCCCGAGGATGATCTCGCCAGATCCACTCCGGACCCAGAGCCCAGCCC